AACCCTAAACTCCTAAACCCTGAACCCTAAGCCCTAAACCCGGGGGGGGGCCTTAAGAGCAGCAGCGCAGGTGCCGCAAGGAGGGCCCTCATCATGGCAGAGAGCCCAGGAGGTCGCCCCACTGAACCCAAAGGCTCCATGTACCTTTATAGTAGAGCCACGGTTGTTTTGTTTTTTGAACGCCTTTTTGCGACTGCCAGAAGAGTCTTCTAACTGCGCAATCCGTGTGACCGGAAGGCCTTTGTACCTTCTAACTCTCAGTACTCTGCGAAGCTGCCGTGGGTGTTTGCGATGTCTGTGTGTCTTCACTGTTTCCTTGCCCTTGCTCACACTGGTCATTCGGCGAACCCAAAGCTGTGTTCATGCTGTCTCCCAGGTCGATTTCAGTCGGGTAGATGGTGGGCTGGATCCCCTAGAGCCACGGTTTAGGGTTTAGGGTTTAGGGTTTAGGGACTTAGGCCTTAAAGTACCTATATAGGGACCCCTTTAAGGCTTAAGTATCTACTATAAAAGTACATGGAGCCTTTGGGGAAGAGCTTCGGCGTTGAAGGTTTCGGGGTTTAGGGGTTTAGGGTTTCGGGGTTTTGGGGTTTCGGGGTTTTGGGGTTTTGGGGTTTCGGGGTTTAGGGGTTTAGGCTTTCGGGGTTTTGGGGTTTCGGGGTTTAGGGTTTAGGGTTTCGGGGTTTCGGGGTTTAGCGTAAGAAGAAAGCCAAGAGGCTTGGAAAAAGCTTGGGGATCTGCTGTACAGTATAGCTTTGTGGAGTCTTCCTATATTCACGCTCCAGTCTTGGGGTTCAGTGGGGTCTAACAGAGAGGCGGTTTAGGGTTTAGGGTTTCGGGTTTAGGGTTTAGGTTTCCAGAAGAACAGCTGAGCACAACAGCTGCAGTATACACATGCGCTACTCCGCCATCTGGCAACAAGGTGCCCTCATGAACCTTGGGTCAATTACAGAGCATGCCCGGGCTGCACAGCCCACATCGTGTCAAAGCCCGCTTCAGCTTAAACACTAAACTTGTCAAGTTCAGCGGCACCCTAAACTCTAAACCACACTTTCCGCGCACCTGTCGCGGGCTTGACCGGGGTCTGCGAAAACAAACAAAATGAGATTCCTCACGAGAGCTACTGTAATGGTACCATACTATAGCAGTTCATATTGTTGTACACGTTGTTGTAACTTAGTATAACGTTACTATGTATCATATTCTAATAGTATATTGTTCTTTCTTGTACTATACTGTGCTATGCTGTGCTATGTTCTGTTGTATTCTATCAGTTCGATAATGTTACATGCAAGGGCTTCCAGCTTGCACCTAAGCCCACACCGAAAGTTTGAAATTCAATAGCCCAAAAACACAAGACCTAAACTCCGAGATCATACACGCCTGGCTGCACTGAGATGTTTTCTACTGCATCTTTGGCAGCACAGGTCACCAGACCAGGCCAAACACATCTTGCCATCGCTCTTGCACTGTACCCCAGACCTGCAGAAGCTTCAGGATGCAGAGGAGATGAGGGATTAGGGTTTGAGTCTTTTGGGCTTACGGTTTTAGAGTTTGGGCTTTGGGTCCCGCGCTTCTGAGTTTAGGTTCTAGGGTTTAAGGTCCAAGCTCGGTTTGGGGTTCGGGGTGCAGAGGCCCTGGGCCATGGGTCAATTGCCATCATCACCCTCATCACGGCCATCATAACTGTCGTCATGGTGATGGTGGTGGTGATGGTGATGATGGTGGTGATGGTGATGATGATCGGCATCATCAGCATCGCCGTTGTCACGGTGGATGTTGATGCTGTGGGTGAGGAGGAGAGGTCGAGCAGGATGTGGGACGGTAATGACGTTGCTGAGTGATGACGGGTGGCCATGATGCGAATGATGCTGATGCCGGCTATCACTGCGATGGTGCTTTCCACGGTGGCCATCATTTAGGTAGTTGTCAAAATTATGGTCCCTTTTTGGGTCCCTATTTTAATATGGCATCTATAATTTAGGGTACCCCAAAAGGGACCCTAATTATGACAACCACCCATTTAGGGGTTGGGGGTTTGGGGCTTAGGATTCAGCAGGGGATATGCGATCCGGCCTTCCAGTCAAAGCCCGCAGCATTGCAAAAGGCATTCCGAAGGTTTTAGGCCGTGCAAAGCATGAACCTTAAACCCAAAATTCCCTAGACCCTCCATCTACCCTCCATAAGACCCTAAATGCCCCTTATTTGGGACCTTATACCCCTATTTAAGGCTACAAGGAAGGTCCTGGTCTAAGACAAACCCTAAGCAATGTCACTTAGAAGGGGCCCCCACCCTGTAATGGTGGTATAATAGGAATATAATAGGGCCCTAACATAACCCTTATAGTCACTATTACAGGGTGGGGGCCCCTTCTAAGCAATCTCACCCTCGTTCAAAACACCAGCTCTAGGGAACCTGTGTAAGCCTCAAACCTCCAAAACCCCCACCGCCGAATGCCTATACATCCTAAGCCTAACCCTGAAACACTACGGTTGATGATATAAATCCTGCATTACCCCAAGGACCCTAAACTATGGAAATAATGGTATAATCCTTACTATGGGTGATGCAGGATTTAAATCATCAACCGTAGGGCCGTAGGGCCCCAAAACTTTATGAAGCGATAGAGTCCCTAGAACATTTTGAGAAGATCCTGATGGAGCCCATACCGTAGCCCTTATTGGGAGTTTCCGAGAATAGGGGACCCTGATATAGCACCATAACCAGTAGGGACCCCAAAATAAGGTACCACTAATTTTCAGAAACTCTCTAAACTCTCAACCCTAAAACCCTAATAAATAATCCCTATCAGACCCGGAATCTAAGGGCGTCGCTGCACCAGCTATCCGCCGAATACGGCCAAGAACGCCTAGGTCTGTTGGCCCACGCAATGTAAAGGGCACGCTGTAGCTAGGATTTCCGGGCTCAAAGGGTTTAGGGTTTAGGGGTTCAGGGTTTTAGGGTACGGGGTACAAGGCTTAGAGGTTTGGATGTTCAGGGGAATAGGGCCACAACCGCGATTCTACTGCTGAGGCCCTTAAAGAAGGGAGTTGGTGTGCGTTCTCGTCGGTCCTAATACCCAGGAACCTTGCAAAGCCTTTCGATAAAGTCGACGGGTTTGATAGGGCCTCAGACCAGGATTGGTGGTAATCATACTACTAGTAGTAGTAGTAGTAGTAGTAGTAGTAGTAGTAGTAGTAGTAGTAGTAGCAGTAGTAGTAGTAGTAGTCGTCGTCGTCGTCGTCGTAGACACTGGTCTCTTTGGTCAACGTTACAATGTTTCTTGGCGGGGAGAGCTACCACTCAGAGCCTCTGAGATTTCGGAGTTTCGGACACTATGCTGCCTCCACTATGTACGATAGACCCAAATAAAGGATTCCTTAATAATCAGAAGGGGCCCCCGAACAGGATAGGCGTGTGGGATTTGGTGTCCGACCCGGATATGGGAACGGGGCTTCCTTGAACTGTTACTACGGCTTTGCCGGCGCCTCTTTTTGGAAGTGAGACCGTGTCAGCATCAGAACGCAAGATACTCCTAAACACTAAACCCTAAACCCTGAACCCTAAAACCCTAAACACTAAACCCTAAACCCTGAACCCTAAAACCCTAAACGCTAAAACCCTAAACCCTGAACCCTAAAACCCTAAACGCTAAAACCCCAAACCCTATGAACATCAAACACTCAAAGAGGACTGGGCAGGGCCCAACGCAGGGGATCGGGCTAGTAGCGCCTCGTAGATCAAGTTTAGAGTTTAGGGTGTGGGGGTTCAGGGTTTAGGGGTTTGGCGGTTTAGGGCTTGGGAGTTTCGGGTTTGGGGTTTAAGGATCAGACAATCTTGGCGACAGAGGGTGTTGAGTTTGTACACGCACCGAGGCCAAAATCCAAGCCCTAAACAGCAGGTCCAAGACCCTAACCCTAAAACCTATGTCCTAAACCCTAAGCCCTACAGTAAAACCCTAAGCCCTTAGAGCCCTAAACCACTCACTTGCACAATCCCTTAGGGTCCATGTAGTCATATAGCGTATACATTGGCCTTAATGTACTCCCTATTCAGGTACTTTGGAGCCCAAGTATAGGCTATATGAGTACATGGGAGTTTCCGAAAATGGGGGACCCTAATATGGTACCCGAAATAGTAGGATCCTTATTATAAGGATCCCAAAATAGGGAACCCCCCCAATTTTCGGAAACTCCCATATGAGTACATGGACCCTTAGGGAACCCGGAGACTCCAATACCCCTTAATTAAGAAATATACCTTAAATTATAGTAGGATCCCTAATATGATTTAAGATATATTCCTTAATTAAGGGATATTGGAGCCTCGGGGTACCCCTATAGAACCCTAGAAAAGGGAACCTGAACCCTAAAAAAAGGAATAAGAGCCTACTCTAGGTCCTAGGACCCTTAGGGAATTCACTTGCCCAAGACCGATCTTCACAGGCGTGGGACTCTTAGCTCGTGCCAGCTCCGCTGCCTGCAGCCGACAGATGGGAGGTTTCCGGATCCCTTTAAAGGGATCTATAAGGGTTCCTTTAAGGGATCCGGAATTAGGGTAGGGTTTAGGGTTTAGGGTTAAGGGTTTAGGGTTTTTAGGGTTTAGGGTTTAGGGTTTTAAAGGGATCTATAAGGGTTCCTTTAAGGGTTCCTATAAGGGATCTATAAGGGTTCCTTTAAGGGTTCCTATAAGGGATCTATAGGGTCTGGGGCTTTCGGACTTTGGGAGATTCCGAAAATTGGGGGCTACCTTATTTGGTGGTCCTTGTACCATATCAGGGTCCCCTCTTTTCGGAAAATCCCATAAGGTTTCTGGATCCCAATTTGGGTCAGTTCTTCTATCAAGGATGCTACTGCTTATGCGCTATCTGCTTATGAAACTCCGATACAAACGGCTCGCAGCATGATTTCCGAAACAGGAACGGAAAGAACTTAACACCCTAAGGCTATAAGCCCGGAACCGACGCATCCATTTTCTGCAGATTTTCTGACGCCCATACTCAGACAGCCGAAGGTTCTGAGGCCAGTGCCTTGGCATGAGAGAACGCTTAGGGCCCAGGGTTCAGGGTTTAGGGTTCAGTGCTGTAAGAGTTTCCATAAGGTTTCTATGGCAGTCTATAAGGTTTCGGGGGTTGTGGGGCTTGAGGTGCAGGCTTTAGGGTATCTCAAAGCCCTATACTGCTTCAGTACAGAATACAAGAACAGCAGGAATCCAGGAAGCTTGACGCGATTCGAAGCATCTTCCGCGATCAAGGAGTATTGGGTCATCGGGAAACCTTGACCCGTCGTTTCGAGGCTGCTTGTCCGTAACTCATGCCGCGCTACGACAGCCCTAAACCCCAAAGCCTAAACCTGAACCCCTAAAACTTAGTGAAGGACCCCTTTTGCCGGAGGATCCCGACCCAAAGAAAGCTGCAGCATGGAGGTGTTTGGGTTGGGGTTCAGGTGAGCCTAAATACACAGCCCCAGAGCAAGCCCCAATAGTGAGAAGGTCCAATTATGCACTCCGAACCCTACAACTCCCAGAACCTGAAACCCAACACCCTAAACAAGTCTAAGTCTCCTCAACCTAAAACCCAAATCCTTAAAACAGAGCACCAATCAAAGCCTAAAGCCACTAATCCCAGACCCTTCACCAACAACAACTAACCTTGCACACAAAACAAGCAACAACCCTACAAACTGTCTGTAAACCCTTCCTCCCATTAAAATCCTCTGTAAACCAAAAAATGCCGAGCTTCTGCCAAGCTCTTGGAGGCCTCCTCCACCCGCGCGCGCTGCGCGGCGTCCGAGGAGGCGCTGGCAATGCCGGCGAGGACAAGGAGATAGGGCCTCTCTAGGGTTCCTTTATAGGGATTCATCGGGGTTCTACACGGGATCTATAGGGTCTAAGTCCGAGGGTTTAAGGCTTTTAGGGTTCAGGGTTTGGGGTTCGGGGCTTGGGGTTTGCGGTTTGGTAGAAGGGTCCTTGAAAGGTTCCACTAAGTGATCCACCTGGGATCTATGAGGGCTCTTCAAAACCGTGACGTTTTGAAGGGCTCTTAAGGCGTTTTAAAGTTGAGGGGTTTCGGGGTTTTGGGGCTTTAGAGCTTCAGGGGTACAGGCTCCAGGGTCTGAGGTTCGAACCTCCGAATGCTGCTGCTTTCAAGGGTTCCCGCTTCGTGGGCTTAACGGCTTTGTGCAAAGGATCCACAAGCAGTTTAGGTGCCGCTGGAAGCCAACAAAGGTTTAGTGCTCATAATTTGCGAGGGTGAGGGGTTTAGGGCTTTGAGGCTTGGGTTTAGTTTAGGGTTTAGAACCTTAGCAGGATTTAGGGTCTAGGATCGTCGGCAGCAAAAGCTCACTCCGCTGCTGCATCCCGATGGACCCTGTGTGAAATACCCTGATAAACCTCATGAGCTCCTGATAAGCTTGGATAAGCGTAGGACAAGCCTGTAAACCCCGATAGAACCCCGTACGAGCGACTGCAAACACCCGATAGAGCTCCAGAGAAAGAAACACGATGAAGCCCTTACCAGCAAAAAGCCAATGCATCCCGACAACTTGCCCGAAGCCAGGGTCGTCAACTGCAGAGATGCCTCGGTGTTCATGCAAACCCAAAAGAGAGCTTCAGAAAACAGGTGGGAACCAAATTTGTCAGAGTTTAGAGTCAAAGGCTGTAGGGTTGTAGGGTGTATAAGGGTCTAGGGATTTGCATGTCTTCCCGAGCAGTGGCCAACAGGACGGCACCACGTTACACCAGGGTGTGTGGGTAGCGGCCTATCTTGCATCAACACGCAATATCCTTGTGCATGGTGAGAGAACCGTGTGATTCCGGCAAATCTTTTTACTGTAGGGTCCTTAATGCTTTAATAATTAGAACAGGCTTGTGGGGCCCATTATACTATATATCTAATAAGGAACCCCCAAAAAAGGTATAGGTAATTATTCAGGCCCCTATGTTACCCGCCTGCTGTGATGCTACTTGCTGCGGGGTCTGGGGCTTGGGGATGAGGGGCCGCTCCCTGGAATTTGATCGGCTTGGAAGGGCGGCCTTGTTAAGCCCAGCGTAGAGTTTATGGGTGGTGGGAACGGCCCTAGAGAGGCCGGGTGTGTATTTTCGTTATGAACCTTTAAATAAGGACTCCCACCCCAGGACGAGACGCTAACTCCAACGAAGTCCCACATCGACCGGGCCACTGCGCCACAGAGCGTAGAGTTGAGGGGTTTTCGGTTACGGCCCGAGGTTGCGGGACTGTCCCAGAACGCACATCTCTATTCCTGTACTTTCTTTGTAATGTAGCTGTTATTCTTATTCTTGTCGTTCGCTTGAGGAAGAACCTTCAACTAGAACTTCAGGAGGACCTACATAACTCGTGCACCCAAATCGAGAAACCTCAGCCTTAGCACCCGAAAGCTCGAATCCCGAATACCTCAGGGATAAGGCCATAAAATTAAAACCCTACATCGACAAGAGCCCATAGCCCTAAACTCTCAGTAACCCCGCGCTCTCTCAAAGGCCAAGAGACCCAGACATCCCAGAAGAGGTTTTGCGCGGGTGCTCCGTCTTCAGAGTAAACCACACGCCTGAGAGTTCATGCTTCGGGTCAAGGGACAGGTATCGATGCGTGTCTATCCCCAAAACCGTCGAGGAAAAAGCCATCAAAGCAGGCGGTGGCTGACTTGGATTCGAAGCAAAGCTATCAACCCCAAGTCTTAAATCCCAACCTGCTGCGTGCAAATCCCGACAACCAAGCTCTGAATTTAGCCGGAGCAGCCACTGCAACTGATAGCTGTCCTGGTCCCCGGCAATTGATTTGGCTGAGACCAGGTCAGCTTTCGCCTCCTCCAAACACAGGCTTTTGTCCAAAGCCTGTTCACTTGATATGAAGGTCTTGTTGTTTTAAGAAGGAGCCCCTAAACCCTAAACCGAATCGCATCAATCCGTGCCTCTGATGATCCTTATCAAGCGAAATAGAAGCCCCTTACAGGTAGGTAGTTCCTCTTCCAAAGTACTCCCATAAGACCCCCTTTACCTTACAGGAGTGGTATGGGAGGCTTATCGGAAACTACCCACCTTATACCTACCCACCTGTAAATGTCTTAGACGAGAGGAGGGCCATGTCATTAGGGATGTACATGACTAACCCCACCGACCTAAAACTGTACTGCCTTATCAGGACATCGCCCTTGTCCCCTGAGTGACTTCAACAGGTTTAGGGTTTAGGGACCAAGTAAAAACTTGTCGCTTGAAATGAGACAGGGGGCCCTAAACCTTAAACCCGTGAACATTAAACCCTAAACCCTACGCGCCTAAACCCTGAACCCCGGATTCTCGGCTTCGTAAAGTTTTGGCAGAAGCGCTCCTTGCCCTTGCGCGCCGGCAGGTATCCCAGGGCGAGGGTACCTGCGTCCAGGACTTTCAGTTTAAAGGCCTCCAAACCCTCAAACCCCAAACGCCACACCCCACTTGGAGGGGCGGGGGGGACTTAATAACTGCTTATTTTAGGGACTTACAAGTACCATAACCCCCAATTAGGGTCCCTCTTAAGGTACTTATATGTCTACTTACTACCTACTTACTAAGTCCCCCGACCCTCCAAGCAAACCCTAATTAGAGCCTAATTAAACCCTCAACCCTCAAACGCCGGACCCCAAGCACGAAAACCCGAAAACATTTAACCACTCAGGTCACCTGTAAGGTGTAGACAGTGTAGGCCGTTGCGGTTGGAGTGGAATTTTGGGATCTCAGCTGCAAACTTGAAACATCCTGAAACCTTGAACCCTAAGTAAGCCGGAGCTCTACATCCTAAGGCCCAAAACTCCTCAACAACAAGGCCTATGCCACTATACGGTTTAAGGTTGAGGGTGTGGGGTATCCTCATCTGGCCTGCAGTACTCTGCGCCTGCTCTGGTGACCCAAGCGCCTCGGACATCGTGGAACCCGCTGCGGGCACGGCCTTGTCTTTGGGGCTTCCGGTTACGGACTTTAGGACTGTAGGGTTTAGGGTAGGGGGTTTAGGGGGTTTAGGGGGTTTAGCGGGTTTAGCGGGTTTAGGGGGTTTGGGGTTAAGGGTTATGAACAAGCTAATGCCACCTCCTGACATGAGGTGGACAGGACTTCTCCCCAACAGAAGCGTCATAGCTAGATATGGGAGTTTCCTAAAATAGGGGACCTTGATTTAGTACCCTAAATAGTAGGATCCTTACTATAAGGAGCCCAAAGTAAGGTACCCCCTTTTTTTCGGAAACTCTCATATAGGCACGCCAGTATTCTGTCTCAGCCGCCTGGAGCCATGCCCGGGCTCCTGAATCCCAAATTCTACAAACTTCTACTTGTCGGGTATCATTGGGGACTAAAGAATAGGGTTTAGGGTTTAGGGGTTAACCTTTTTGGTGATATAGGGATTATATGGGGGCCACACTACCCAAAAAAGGTCATTAAAGGTTACCTACTCTACTACTAGGAACTTCTATCCGGCACAGTCCGACATGCATGAGACCAACATGATCCTGGTGTAGGCTTGGAGTTCAGGGTTTAGGGTTTAGGGTTTAGGGGTTTAGGGGTTTAGGGTTTAGGGTTTAGGGTTTAGTTTTGAATTCAACCTAAACCCATCATCGTTCGACATCTATACGTAGCCGAAACCCGGCATGCCATGACAAACAATATCAGATCCCGATGATGATGATGACGATGTCTGAGTCTGGTCGCAGAGACGACAGTTTTTGAGGTATTGCTGATGCTGATCAGGGCGGCGATTGATTGTGAGGATCACGACGAGCAGGTGGAGAAATGCAGCACAAACAATCATCACGACTCACCAGTTACAATGACTGACTGACTCATGACAAAACTGACATTGACGCGAACGAGGTCAATCTGATCCCTGTCCGAGGGGCATAGAGTGCCACGCTGGCATCGGAGCCCTCTTGCGGACACACAGCCACGAGGGGCAAGGGTGCACCTGGGAGGAAATGTAGGGGCCTTATTAATTACACATTGAATCGACACACTATCGACACCATATGCCACTGGGGCTGAAAGTCAGAACGGTAGGCCATGGTAGTTAAGGTAGCAGTATTCTCTTACGCTGTATTGCATAGTGACCGGAGGTCAGAAGTTGGAAGTCTCACTTCGGGGAGTCTTGCATGAGCTCTACCCTAACCCTTCTGTATGCCTTAGCCCAAGCCCTACTTCCTCGAACCGTAAGGGCCAGGCCTGTGTTGCGTCCGCCTCCGAGCGTCAGAGTCTTCTCCTGGAAGGACCCCCGGAGATCAAAACTTAGCACATGCAGGGGTTGAGGTCCCAAAAACCTATACTGCTACATCGGAAGTCGCATAGCGGTTCAGTGCTTGGCGGCCTCAATAATCAGAATCTCCTTCGTACTACAACCTGACACGAAACCCTAAGGAATAATTTTGGTAATTATCCAAGCTTCTATATTACCTGGAGCAGGCCTGGCGGCGATACCGGGAGATCTCCAGGGAAGCATCGTAGACCCAGTCACCAGGATAGGTGAAGGTGCAGGATAGCCCCTTACTCCACGCGACAATGAACGAACGTATCCGAGTTAGCGGTCCTAGAATCAGTATCTACTTGCAGCTGCCACAGGTGTGCTGCAAGTAGAAAACGACTCAATGTTCCGGGCTTCGGAACTCGCCAAGCGTAAGGAGTGCCTACAGTATGCGGATATCATACTATACACTGAACTATGCCAGCTATGCATGACTTTTACATTTTGCACCGATATGCATACGCAGACATCTTGTTCGCATTGACACAACGCATACACACAGGCACGCATGAAGTAGTTGGCAGCACCTGCAAGTAAGCAAACATGCAGCTGGGCAGCATCGATGTAGTGCCGTTTCAGCCCCCGCACTGCGTAGACTCCATCCAAACGCAGCGATCTCACCAATGGAGTGAAAGCATCCAGAGAGAGAAGCGCCTGGTCGACCAGCTTGGAATTCTCCCCTCGATGCCGGGGCTTATGGTTTGTCCCTCATGGTTTAGAGTTCGCAGCTGGTCAGAATTTCGGATTTGGGGCTTCGCGCTTTGAAGTGGAAGCCAATCTTCTACTGCGCATGCGGCAGAGATGTCACTGTCTCTGAACTTATCAACCCTACCTTGAATCAGATTAAGCAACATCGGTCCAGGATTTTACAGCTTAGGTGTATTTAAGACCCTAAAGCCTAAACTCTAAATCCTATAGCCCTAATCCTTCGTGTGGGGGCCCTCTGGCCATAGCCTGAGGCTGCGACGCTGAAGGATCCAAGTAGGTTGGCCCCGAGCCCCACAAAGAGCAGGGGCACGTTGACCTGCGTGTTCAGGGCTTAGGGGTTGGGGGTTTAGGGCAGAGGGCACGGCTATTTGGGGCTGAGGATTTTCGAGGAGACCGACATCGTCGACCCTGGACCCTAAACCCCAAACTTTTGCCCTTTGCCAAACCCTAAACCCTTAAACCCTAAACCCGGAACCCCTAAACCTTAAACCAGCACACCCTTAAACCCTAAACCCTGAACCCTCAATCCTAAACCCTACGGCCTAAACCCTAAACCCTATAGACCCTTAACGCTAAACCCGGGAACCGTGATGGCCATTGAGGGTTCCGGGGCTCTGCTTTGAAGTCAGGGTTGCTGGTTCTCAGGAAGCCTGACTTGCTGGACCCTGAAGGGCTTAGCCTACTAGCAATAGTAGTAGTAGTAGTAGTAGTAGTAGTAGTAGTAGTAGTAGTAGTAGTAGTTGTTGTAGTAGCAGCAGCAGCAGCAGCAGCAGTAGTAGTAGTAGTAGTAGTAGTAGTAGTAGTAGTAGTTAGTAATATGTAGTAAGTCGCATGTAGCAAGTAGTAAGTAGTAAGTATTTAGTAGCAGTAGTAGTAGTAGTAGTAGTAGTAGTAGTAGTAGTAGTAGTAGTAGTAGGAGTAGGAGTAGGAGTAGCAGGAGTAGCAGTAGTAGCAGTAGTAGCAGTAGTAGCAGTAGTAGCAGTAGTAGCAGTAGTAGCAGTAGTAGCAGTAGTAGCAGTAGTAGCAGTAGTAGTAGTAATAGTAGTAGTAGTAGCCATAGTAGTAGTGGCAATAGTAGTAGCAGTAGTAGTAGCAGTAGTTGTTGTTGCTGTTGTTGTAGTTGTAGTAGTAGAAGTAGTAGTAGATAGAAGTCGGTAGTGGTGTAGTCGTCGTCGTAGTAGTAGTAGTAGGTGGTAGCAGTAGTCCTCGTCGCCGTAGTACTAGTAGTAGTAATGAAAATGATACTGGTAATGATAATGTTTGCTCCGACTATTTAGGTTCTAGCAGGTTTACGCTTTCGGGTTTCGCAACTGTTAGGGTTCAGGATTCAGGGTCCAGGGCTACTTCAATGCGAGGCCTTTGGAAGTCCGCAGTCGCAATTCAACAGGTAAGAAGCTTTCAGGGTACCTTCAGGTATCTTAGGGTTCGTTTAAAGGTACTTTAACCGCTGTATAAAGGTTCTACAAGGGTTCCTGAGTAGCCCCATTATAATAAGGCTACCCGTTTTCCTACTATTCAGTTTCAAAAGGGGGCCCTAGACTAAAACGGGCAAAAGGATACTACCCAGCCCAGGCCGTCAGAGCTTTTCCTGCTGGGGCTTGTTCTCAACTCAGGTGGCCGTCCGCAGGGTGGCTATCTCTCAGAACACTACATGGCATATGTAGGCATCCCAACATGACCAGAAACCCTAAAGAACCCTAAGCCCCAAGCCCTAAAAAAACCCTAAATCATCCTAGCCCTGTTCCTTCAGTGCAGAACCTCTTCCAGCCGAGTCGCTATGAGAAAGCGACGAGTCCCACCTGAGAGCCGGTTCAGGGTCCCTAGGATCCTCTGGGTGTAAAGCTCCGGGGTTGCAGGGCTTAGGGTTTGGGGTTTAAGGGTTTAGGGTTCAGGGTTTAAAGCTAACAAAGGGTTTAGGCTTGGGGTTTAGGGTTTAGGGTTGACAAAGTTTGGGGTTTAGGGTCTCGGGGTTTTTAAAGGGTTTGGGTTAAGAGTCACAGGCTTTAAAACTAATGGTCTGCTGTCGTAGGGTTACAGGTTTAGGGTTTAGGGGTTTAGGGTTTAGGGGTTTAGGGGTTTAGGGTTTAGGGTGTAGGGTCTTGGGGTTGAGGTTTAGGCTTAGCAGGAACCCTGTACTGCAAACGAAGCCTCATGTCCTAAACTTTCCAAACCCCCCATGGGCCCTAAACTCTGAGCTCTAAAGCCTCCCTAAAGCTTGAAGCCCGGAAGCCCTCACAGTAGAAGCCAGAAAGTTGGAATATGGTAATTATCGTAACCCCTTTTATGGTAAATTATAGGGGGATCCTACCATGAAACCATATTCCAACTTTCTGGAGTTCCCTTTAAGCTTGCAAAACCTGCAAAAAAAACCTAGGACCTAAACCCCGACAAAGAGGCCTTGCAAGCGAGGCACCATAGAGGTTCATGACCTAAGGCAGTTCAGGGTTTAGGGCTTCCCGACAGCAGTGCTTCTGGGTTTAGGGATTGAAACTTAGGGAATTTAAGTTGAGGGTTGAAGGTACTCGGCCTAAGGAATTCAAGATTTGGGTTCATGGTTTGGGCTTTTGCCTGTGCGGGTATTCTAAATCCTACACCCTAAACCCTAAATCCTAAACCCCAAACCCTTAACCCCAAACCCTAAGGGGTTCAGTTTTCGCCAGAGCTCAGACGCGAAACTTTTGGAGTTCAGGCGTTGGTCTTGCGAGCTGTCGGGCTTTATGACCCGATGCTTCGGGCTCCGATTTTGGGCTGACGGCCTTGGGTCTAGAGTTCAGGACTAATTACGGTTGAGGGTTTAGGGGCTTCGGGGTAAGCATTCCAACTGTTGATAATGAAACAATGACGTACCAGCAGGCACCCACAAATATGTGCTGCAACTGCGCTCAACAAGCTTCTAATCGGCGTTTTCTTTCCGTAAGCTACGGCAATATAACTATAAACCACTCTAAGACTATGGGACTAAAACCAATAACAGCAAACAATCAGGTGTGAAGTTAGGGAATCGGGAAACACGGTTTGGAGCTTTGGGCTCCTTAAAGTCCAGGTCTCGAACAAACGGCTTCGCCATAACCGGGAACTCTTTTTGGCAAATAAGGACAAGAAACCACTGGGGAAATTCGGAAGGGATCCCTTTGAGAAGACGAAGACCTCTATGTGGGCACCACAATTCTTATAAAGAGCCTCGCGCACGCTTAGAGTCTACTTATATGTATGTATGTATGTATATATATATATACATATGTATATATGCATACATAAATACATACGCACGCACGGACACAGTCTATACATACATCTATGCACTCTATGTAGTGTCACGTCAGAGTTGAGCCCTGGCCTGCTGCAGGTTTGTCGGCGGCCAGTTGGCCCAGCCCATGACCTGCTGGCGGGGTTCTTGCGAAGAGGCTTCGTTTGGGTGGTTGTCAAAACTAGGGTCCCTTTTTGGGGTACCCTAAATATTATGTGCCGTATAATAATAGGGACCCAAAAGGGACCCTAACACTGACAACCACCCATTTGGGTTAGCATAATTGGGAAGCAGAGTACAGTGAGTACAGACTGTGGAAGCCTCCTTATGGTAGATTAAGTTAAGTTTGTGCTGCCGCCATGCTTGCAAGTCCAAACTGCCCTGTGCCGGCGCAAACTACTGCGGCAGCCTTTTGCGTGGAATGCACACTAAATACTTCCCTTTCTGCCATGTCTGAGCCATTCTCATAGGCGAAACTGATCATAAGGCTGGGCAAGATTCAGCGGACAGGTTCTTCGATCACAAGCTGGAAGGTAATGTGTGGCTTTGATTACCCTAAACCCTAAACCCTAAACTCTAAACCCTAAACCCTAAACCCCTCCCCCCCCCCCATGGTTGGGCATAAGCGCGGACCGGCACCGCAACCAAACGACTGAGGTCGTTGGCATAATTGGAGGGAGGATGGTCGTAGTGGTAGTCGTAGCAATAGTAGAAGAAGAAGTAGTAGTAGTAGCAGTAGTACGAGAACGAGTACGAGTACTAGAACTGCTACAAGTGCGACCTGGTACTACTAGTAAGTAGTGAAGTCCTAAACCCCTGAACCCTAAAACCTTATGGCCCCCTCATAATAATCCTAAAGACCCCCATGCTAAACCTTAAATCCCTACGGTGGAACCTTATAGACCCCTTTAGCGGGAGCCTAGTATAGAACCCTATGGTAACCTTTAAAAGGAGCCTTCTTGGCACTGACGCAAGCCTCGCGCTCTGGCGCCTTCGCCGCTCTTGGCGGGGACGAAGCCTTGGCGGCGCCGGGCACCTGCAGCGCTAGTCTCAGCTTTTAATGCCCCTTTTAGGGTTTAGGGTTTATGGTTAGGGTTTAGGGTTTATGGTTTAGGAATTAAGGTTTAGGGTTTAGGGAAGAATGAATCGAATATGGCTTCTTTCAGGGGGTCTACAAGGCTTCCACAAGGTTGTCGGGTTTTTTGGTGGCTTCATCAATAAACTTGGGGCTCGTTGTAATGCATTGCATAGTCGGGGATTACACAGTGAAACTAACTAGGTAGCTGTCGAAATTATGGCCCCTTTTTGGGTACCCTAAATATTGGGTGCCGTATTATAGTAAGGACCCAAAAAGGGACCATAATTTTGACAACAACCCAACTATTTCTAACCATTCCTCTGACGCCTGAGTCAGCCGACACTAAACAGATACCGGTCGGCCCTTAAAGGGTTAAGGGTTTAGGACTGAAGGGTTTGGGGCCGAGGGTTTAGGGTTTCGGGTTTTCGGGTTTAAGGGGTTTAGGATTGAAGGATTTGGGGCGTAGGGTTTAGGGGTTTAGGGGTCCAACCAAAAACACCCGCATGCGTGAGCAAACTATACGACACCGTACGTTATTGGATGCCTAAACCCAAGTAATCTCAAGACATTGACTTAGTGGCTGAGTTCATAAGCCCCCCAAAAGTGTACACTTTCAGTTTAATAGTGGGTAATATAATGCCAAAAAGTGTAAGGTGTATCCACTCAGCTACTAAGTTGAACCCAGAGCCTCGAACTGAATCCCTAAATAACCACACACCTGGACCCTAAACCCCAAATCCCTAAACCTTACTTGAAGGGTCGGGGGACTTAGTAACTGGTTTTTTTTAGGGACTTATAAGTACCATAACCCCAATGAGGGTCCCTTTTAGGGTACTTATAAGTCTACTTACTACCTACTTACTAAGTCCCCCGACCCTCCAACTATTACACAAAACTCCTGAACCTGCATCCCTAACCCGAAACTCCCTAAACCCACCTCTACACTCCCAACGAACCCTAAACCCTAAACTTCCCAGAGACCCCAATATCCCTTCATTAATATAGCCTAAATCAGATTAAAGATCCTACTATAATTTAAGCTATATATTCCTTAATTAAGAGATATTGGAGTCTGTGGGTTCAAAGGGCCGAGGTCTGGGGTTTCAGGGTTTAGGGCGCGGCGCGAACCCAAGCCTCCTCGTCATCCTTGGCCCTGCTGCGTGCAAGGTGAGGGCCTACCAAGGGGAGCGGAACAACTCAATCTGCAGGGCTTCAGGGTTTTTTTTGGGGCTTAGCGTTCGGGGTTTAGGGTTTAGGGCGTTGGGGCAACGAGGTCTGGGATGTAAGCTTTGAGGCTTGGGGTTGAGGGCGTACGGACTCTATCACCAGATGCCCAAAACTCCAAGGGTACAAGGAGGGACCCTTAATAAGGACCCCTAGGTATATACCCTTAGTATAGCTATTATATACCCCATTATATAGCCCATTATAGGCTAGGGGTCCCCATTACGGGTCACTCCTTTTCCCCCTTTGACTCGCGAGCTTTCGACCCTCTGGCAGCATAAAGCCTGCCTGGTCTCTGGCCTGGTGCTGGCCTTTTTGGGGCTTTAAAAAACAGGGGCCTTAATAATAATAATAATAATAAAAAATAATAATAATAATAACAACAATAATAATAACAATAATAATAATGATTAGAACATGTTAGAATAGGGTTTTGGGGCCCCTTTGTACTATAATTACAATGGGGAACCACCAAAAAATACGGTTGATGATATAAATCTTGCATAACCCATAATAAGGAATATACCGTAATTCCCAGAGTTAAGGGCCCCTAAGGTACTGCAGGATTTATATCATCAACCGTAGTATAGGTCATTATGAATGCCCCTGTAGTACAGGCTTTTTTGGGCTTGGGGCATCCTCAGGGTTCAGGGCTGTCTGACTTTCGGTTTTAGGGTGTAGGGTTTAGCGTTTAGGGTTTAAGGTTTTGGCTTTGGGGGTTCAGGGTTTAAGATTTTGGCTTTTGGGTTTAGGCCCAGGGTTGCGGCTTTTGGGTCTTAGATAAAGGTATCAACAACTGATCAAGGCAATCTCCCTCGAAGGCTCCTTTCATTTGCGGCGATGACTGTCGCTGCATTCGTGGGACCTTGAGCCCAGGACATTGAGACCTCATCAAAAACTGCACCCACATGCTAAACCCGGAACTGCCAAATCTCCAAACCCGAAACCCCCAAACTTCCTCCTCCCTGCCCTCTACACTTTGAATGTCACAAACAGCAAACGATAAGCTGCCTGCAGGCTTAAACTCCAACTTTGGACTGTGCCTCTTCGCAGCCGACAGCTCAGCAAGCAGCCCAGGACCGCCTTTCTGTCCAAGCTTCAGTCGGTCAAAACAGATTAGGGCCATTCGGGTTTTAGGGTTTCGGGCCTAGGGTTCTGGGGATTCATGAGGATTGTAACTATTTTGCAGCGATCTGGCCTGCGGAAGATGAAGGCTGATACCGAAAACAAGACTTAGTCCGGATTGAGAGCAGGTGGGCACGCTTGCCGATGCAGTGGACGAGCCCTAGCCCATCATCGTCTTCCTGAGCGTCTCATCGCTCAATGCAGCATGATCAACATTATGATTATTATCGTCATACTCCTCGTCACCACCAATGCCATCGTCGCAAGCATCAGCATCGACGACTCGTCACCTACCTGCGCATCACCAACCCATGAAGGTGTGGGCCAGGATGCCATGGAGAATGCACGAGCTGCCGAATAACGAATCTGGTACCAACATGTGATTGAGCGAATAGCTGCATGGACGAACAAGCGAGCACGCACCGAGTCACCAAGTTCACGAACACGCCCACCGAACGGTGATGCCAATTTTCCGGGCATTGACATCTGTAGCAGCCGAGCAGCGGCACAGCCCCGATAAGGCACTCGGCAGGAAGAACCTGGGCACCGCTCCATTTTGGCCTTTCTGGTGTAGCTAGGGCAAGTGTTCAGGGAGCAGGAAAATTCCACAACTATGCTGAAACCCCATCTTTAAAGCACTGCAACACCCTGTAGGGCTACAGCATACCACAGAAAACGCTACAAGGATACCCAGCAACCTAAGAATAATAAGACCTCTCTTTTTGGTATTGGGTAACTTTATAAGGAACCTAGGACTACAAAAAGGGAATAAGGGTACTACTGGGCATCCTAGGCTACAAAGGTCTTCAAGAAGCTCTTGGAAGTCCGCGTCGGAGCAGCGCAGCATGGCCGGAGCCTGGGCGCACCAGGCGCGGACACGCTGGCCTTTGCTGGCCCAAGGCTTTAAGGCTTTAAGGCTTTAAGGCTTTAAGGCTTTGGCATCAGGGCCTCAGTGATTCGCACAGTGGCTTCCAGAGGGCTTTTACACTTCTATCGAATTTTCTAGGGATCAATAGCCAACGTTTAGGGTTTATGGCCTGAGAGGTCTAGGGTTGTTTTATAAAGTTATATACAGGCTCTATAATGGCAAGTTTAAGGGTGATGGGACGATGTTACAGTGGCCACAACAATTGGAATAAGGGTTTTCGGGTCACGATAGTACAGTAATAACATGGAAATGTCAAGGAGTACTGCTACTAATTATGCAGACCTCTAGATTCGGGTTTAGGAGTGAGGAGGCTAAGGGCTTAGGATAATCCTAACTATCGGGGTTGACGGCCATGGAATCTGAAAAGCGGCAAACTACTTGACTGCCCCTGCAATCCCATGGTACTCAATACGGCACTTACTTCGGGGTTCTTTTTCGAAACCTAGACCTTAAAGCCCTAAACCCTAAAGCCCTAAACCCTAAAGCCCTAAAGCCCTAAACCCTAAAGCCCTAAACCCTAAACCCCTGAAGCCCTAAACCCTAAACCCCTAGATAATCCCAAAGTCGGTTTTCGTTGGGGACGCTGTAGGGTTTGGTCGTTCAGCTTACGGAGCTGAATGGGGAACGGGAAGATGGGACCCAAACGGCTGAATTGTGTAATGTAGGGACCTTAATAATTTAGAATAAGGTTTCCTTTAAAGGGTTCTTAAAAAGGGTCCGATTAGGGCTACTATTTGGTGTATTATGGGGGTTTAATGTAGGGACCTTAATAATTAGAATAAGGTTTCGGGACCCATTATACTATAATTGTAATAAGGAACCCCCAGAATAGTAAAGGTAACTATGTCGGCCCCTATATTGGATTCATCGGGCAGCTAGAGTGTAGGGTTTATAGGTTTTACGGCTAGGTGAGCTAAGAGAATGTAGCGGGTTTTCGGAGGCTTGGGCCAAGCGTTAGGGAAATTAGGCCAGTTTACCGTCGTGTCCCACATCAACATAAGAATGCAAGCTATCATGTGTAAAGAACCCTGCATACATAGATAATTGGGGCTCTTCTTTCAAGTATACACTGAACCCGAACCCTTTCATCTATTCGCCCTAAGCCTGTGAATCCCAAAAATGAAAAGATCAGGAAGCCAGCTCAATTGTTATAGATAGTGCACGATAGCACGAATCGCACACACACTTTTTGTCTTGAGCCAAGCAACAGTAAAGGTCGGTAGACATACGTACAAAGAGCAATAAAACACCCCCCGCGCCTCTTAGGGCAGCGAAGAGAGGCGAAAGTAGAAGTACAGTATGCTACCAACATGTTGCGAATGCAAAAGCAGGCTGATTTTTACACCTTAGGTGCAACAAAGCTCTTAGAAAGATCTCAACACTCCTGACGTGCCATGTCCCATCAGTTCCGGCCCTTTACTTAGGCCGTCCCGTCAGGGAGGCAGAACAATGGACATGGAGCAGATAAACTACTCTTACATGTCCGACCCGTCAGGGTGGAGAATACAGCACAACGAACCGAAAAATGTTAATTAGCTGCTACTGTACTGCACAAGACGCGGCAGTCAGTACAGGCGGATCCCGTTTTGGGTCTCTTTCCAGCCAGAGAGGAAGTAGCCCACATGCTCCGGTGCCAGGAGGTGGAAGTCGTTCAAATCATGAAAAGCTGGTACCGCACGATCTTCCATTCCTCTGGGAACGTTCTTGTCCCGAGATGCCTTGAGGCGAGCCCAAAGCAGCGCATCATGCCGGGTAAAGTAAGGTCGGCGAGGCTGCGATGGGTCAATAGGGTTCCCCCTTGAATCGACAACCAAGGTCGTTGGTGGAGGCCCTTTTGGCTCGGGCGGACGCATCGGTGCATCCGTTGACGATCCTGGCACATCCCTTCCGGGTGGCGGATAGCTGGGCTCTGTTGGCCGCAGACGGGTAGCTGCCACTCCCGGAGAAGGGTTGCGAGGGCGCGCTCGTGGCTTCGGAGGAACTGAGCCAGCTCGCTGTGCACTGCCAGTCGCTCGAGTAGTTGGCCTCGCCTTAGGAATCGGTGGCTGAGCTGATCTGCCTCTGATCTCCGTCCTCCCTGCTCTAAAGGCATATCCGATCCTCTCATTGACGCCCTTGGCGCCGGGGAGCTGTCTCGCGAACTTCGTGTTGATGAGAAGCTCGTTCAGCTGTCTGTCCCCAAGAGAGGCGAGCCCTTCCGGGACGCGGAGTTCCTGATTGGCAGGTAAAACCAGCTCAGGCACCTGTTCGCCGCGCTCAACTGCATATCGTACCTCGTCTTGGAAGAATCCCACAATCCTAGCCAAGATCTGTACCACTGGACCGGTCGGCTTCAACACGCGACCGCTAAAGCCCAGGATGTCCATGACGTAGCCATTGCGATGGACGGCAAACGCCAACAAGGCGGCTTCATCAAGCTTGTAGAACCTGTCCACGAACGCCACAAAGCAGTGATCCGTAAGTGTCAGGTCCTCACCTTCCGGTGGGAATGAGAAGCTCACCTTTGCTGCGCCGTCAAAGCCAGTGCGGTCATGGATCATCTGGCGTGACCTCGGCGGGTTGGCGATCCTCATTCGGGCGAAAATCATGAGTTGCTCAAGCCCCGTGATGGATATGCCAAATCTTGCATTGTTGTAGGCCGTGAACGGATCACGAGACTGACGCTCAACAACAGTGCGAGAACCCGCCTTCAAGGCCTTTCCGAGGTACTTAGCGGCCTGCTGGCGAACAGCGGCTGGGCCAGAGCCAGCACTCCGATCCCTCTTGTTGCCCGTGGCCCGATTGGAGTTGACCTCCCCGCTCGGTTGCAATGCCCTGTAATCCAGGGGCTCACCCTTCCGGGCGGCAACTTGCTTGGCACGGGTGTTCTCCAAAGCCATGCTCACATCTGAGTGCGGTTCCAGTCGAGACTCACATCGATAGCAGCAGATTGTACCATCAACGTTGGATGTACCGCAGCTCGGGCAAGCAAAAGAAGGAATGCTGACATTCTCTTGGCGGCGCCAATCCGACTCATCGTTGCATTTCTGATGAGGTTGCTTCGGAGCCACGTGAACCACCATCTTGTACAATGACTCAGAGCCCTGCAAGGCATGCCCTTCCGGGATGCGAATGTCTAGACCACACATGCTTGTTGGGTAGAAATCAAGGTCGTAGACATCCTTGCATGCCTTAGCGGCGTCTTTCCAGGTGTCGAAATTGCGATACCCTAGGCCTGCCACGAGGTAGTTGAAGCAATAGCCGTTTGCATCGATCAGTTCCTGGTGACCCCGCTCGCCATAAATGGGCGTGTTGAGGCTCTTGTCTTTGCACGCCTGGGCCAAGCGCTTCCGCGCTGGTTCGTATGCTCGGTTCGCCCAGATCATCTCCTGAGTCGACCGGTCATATGCATACAGAATGGCCCGGTTGCTGATCCAATCCGGCGTCTGCAGCGCTCCAGCTTTTGTCTCGAAAAACCGACAGCCATCGCAAGCAGCGAGCTGTAAGTCTATCACAAATTCCAGCTGCGCGCCAGGGCGGACACCCTGATTGGAGGTGCGTTCCCACTGAGGCTCCATCGCGAACATGTTGAAGGGCCTCCCGCTGTTGCCCTTCGAGGTCATTTTCCCTCCCGGGATGAGGCCTGTGTTGACGATCTTGATGAAATTTCGCCAGTATGTGGCGTGGTACGCCAGCTTTGGCATCAGATCGAAGGCCGTTGCCCGATAAGGATATGGACCCGTGATCGGTAGATCAACATAGGACGGGATCCATTGGTCATCGAGGGCCCACTGTTTGACAGTGGTCTTCAGCGGGTCACTGCCGAGGACGAGCAAGCAGGCGTTGTGTCCTTGGAATGCTCGGACACGGGTAAAGTGCCAGTTTGTTCCCCGGCCCAACCGTGTCTCCTCGTCCAAGGCTTCCGCCTGGAGTTCGAACCGTGCTTTGTCACAGTGATCGGACGTCAACAGGTCAATAATGGTCATCACCGTCAGGCGGGACCACTGTTTCCCAATGACCTTCAAGACATCACCAATCTCTGCTGACTGCTCTTCGTCGAACTCAACAGTGCGGAACCCCTTGTCCTTGGCATGCCCACGCAGGTGCCACGACAGCTTTTTGCCCAACGAAACACACTCCATCTCATTGAGGCGAAAGTATCCCATGCGACCCTTGACATCAGGTAGCTGATCCGGTGTAAGCCAGATGGGTCCACCACTTCCGCGGGGATGCTCCACTTCGTCATCTGCGCCGTAGTCCACAGCCATCGGACCAGAGTCCCAGACTTCCGTCGGGATGTCGGAAGTAGCAATCGTAGAGACTGCCTCACCATCCACGACAGATGTAGCTGTGACATTCGGCTCAACAAACTCGTATGGAGCAACACCCGTCTCCTGGGCGACCTCTTCAGCCTCCTTATCCGTCATCACCAGGTTCACCGACTCAATCATTTTTCGAACGATTTGTTCCATCTCCGAGCCGGGGTCAACCGCTTCCACGGTGAGGTGCTCGTCCTCCGGATTCGGGTTACGAGACACTACGTCCTCAACCGTGAGCTCCTCTGATTCTTTTGCCACTTCATTGACATAGTCAGTGGGCGGTACACCCTCAAGCTCGTCAAGCTTTTCCAAGCTGAAGATCGGCTGGTTCAAGACAATCTCCTCCTCTGGGAAACGTTGCACGGGCGGTGCCTCAGGTGGGAAAGTCACCATCTCAGCTTCCGCCGGAATGAGCAAGTCCGTGGTAGGAGGGATGTCGAGCTCTTCCAAGCCGAGTCCGAGGTGAAAGTGGTTGTGAAAGAGGATACCACGCGAATTGGCCTTAAGTTCCATCGCGTGCTTCACAAGCCACCGCTCGAACATGATTGCAGAGCAAAGGTGAAAGAACCAGCGGGCGGTTACCTTCACATTGTCGTGGGTAGCCTCCATGTGAAACCCATCGTAACGCTCTGTCGTAAGGATGTGAGCCTGGGGATCAA